CTTTAAACACGTTTTCTCAAAAAACTAATAAACAACTAGGATAAAGCTAATCGGTGAAGATCTTCCTTATTTTTTAACTGAGTTTGTGGTAAAAAATAGGCGATTTTCCATAAACAAATTTTCAAAGTTCCGCCATTTTGTTAATTGTTGTGCGAATTCAATAATCCTAGTTCATACGAGAGCCAGACATGTACTCTTTCTAACACAGTTGGAATTTTCGGATTCCGATGTTCCAGTGAGGAGTTATCATGCCCGCCATCGAAAATATGGACTTTTCTTTGAACCCAAAAAAAAAAAAAAAAAAAAAACAACAACAAAACAACAACAAATTTTGGTAAATTATTTTTCTTCCCTTAAGGTTGTCCATAAAACTCACTGAATCAAATCATTCGTCTGTTAAAACTTTGTGATATTTAGTTCGCCTATATAGACTGTTTCTGTCCTTCAGTTTGTCGATAAATGCTCCCGTACTTCAGCTCGTCCATATAGAAACCCCGACTTTTAACTCGTCTTTAAAGACTGCTCAGCCTTTATATCTACTAAGACTCCCTGTTCCATATGCGAAACTGATTTAAAAACAATTGTTTAAAAAGTGACTATAATCCTTTGATCGCTGACCCTCAGGTTAGAAAACCAGGCTATAGAAAGAATTAAGCGGTTTTTGTATTTGATTATTTTGACCATTATTGACAAATTTCAATAAACACATTCGATGCTAAAAATGTGACTAGAACCTTCAAAATACCAAAAATGTGGGGTGTCAGTACCAAAACTTGGACTAATATTGGATATGTTCTGCAAAGGAATATTCAATTATATTCGTACAGAAAAGTGGTCAGACAGACGGACGCGACATAATCTCAACATAGAATGTTATTCTGATCCTATTTGACTATTAGGAAGCATCCCCATTTTTGTTTACGGAATTTTTTTATAATCCTCTCAAAAATGTACGATCTGATCTGACAAAATTTTGGATTTTTATTGCATAATCTAATGCCTAAAATTGAAAATTTGGGATTTCTAATGCTAAAATGGACGTCGTAGCTTTCTCATGCTATAATTTTTTGACGAATTTTCATTTGAAATTTTATAGGGACATTATTGAATTAGTGCAAAATCAAATCAAATAAAAAAATTATATTCACAAGGTCAATTCAGGCCATACCAAGGCTTCACATTGGTTTTAAAATCGTCAACATCGACTTTTTGATATGTCCATAAACATGTTATCAACAATTTGTATATATTTTATAAAAAAATCTATGCCGATAATATTACTCGCATTCAAATTTTTTCACGTTTTTTTTACTTCATATCGTAGAATCCAAGGCGGTATAAATCAATATTGATAATAAAGTAATTTTGTTTATTTTCCCATTTTTTTAACTTCATTTGAAATTTCGAACATATTCAAGGGCCTGATATAAGTGAATCTATAATTCATCGCATAGGACTTCCTTTAAAAAAATCTTTGATTTTTTTCTCTAAAAATCGTCAGTGTCAGTGTCAGCGGAACTATTTTTGAATAACGACAATACTCCAAGCTATATTTAAAATTTTGATGGAGGTTTCTAAGCTTTTCAGAATTAGAATGATAACAGTTTCATGTCACTGTGTTAATTTTATAGAAAGAACCATCACATCTCTGCTTGGATTGATTAACTTATAACTCAGTTCTCATTTTATGTTTATTTAAACCTATGATTTAAAACATATATTCTTCGAAACTGTTCTCAGTATAACGAGTAAAACATTGCCGTTGTTACAACTTTTCAACATTACATGAAATAAAAAGTTTACATATTTCCTTAAAATCTCCAACTCAATTTGTAGACTATATTTTATGGGCACAAAAATTCACTTTGTTGTGAGTATATCTCAGTTTAATTCTTCTTTTGTGGTTTTATTACTCTTTTCCTAAATCTTTAGAGACTTACAAAGAAACTCCTAGAGACTTTTGTTCCAACACAGACAAAAACAACATCTAGCAGAAAATGATAAAACGTTTATCCTAAAAGTATGCTATAATAAAAATGACAAATAAACAGAAAAATAAGTTTTGTTGGGAGCATCTTCTTCTTTATGAAACACTTTGCTTGCAGGAACAAAATTTAATTAATTTCGAAAAATCTCACAATTTCGAGCCATTTCTGACAATAGGCGTTATGGTAAAATGATTTTGAATTGCGAATAAAAATTCACATACTTTAAGGGAGACATAAAATATTTGATTCTTAAATGTTTGCAGAATTTTAGGTGTCATGTTTTGATTTCCCTCCCTCAGTGTCGGTTTTAGGGCATTGCCTTAAAGTCTTTTTAAGTTGTGGTTGTTTGTTCCGTTATTTGTTTATTTTTCTTACAAAGAAAATTTCAAAATAATTCCCCAAGCTGTAACACCTGTACACAAAGAGATTCATAGAAAATCACTTGGGTGTAAGCCAAAACCTAGCAATGGAAATGGTGGAAGTAATACAAGGCCCCCAATTGCCAAGCTTTTTACAATATTATTTGTCGTCGTATGTGGAGCATTTGTTTTTAGTTATCCTTAATGTGAAATTGAAATTGATATCCGAACCTAAAAGTATGCAATTAAATATGGATTTGGGTACTCATATGGAACAGTTATAGAAAACAAAGAAATGCGGGGAGGTGCCTTTCCAAGGAAAAATTAAAAAAAAACATAATATCTGATTTTCGGCCTCAGTTCTTTACTAAGGAAGGATGGGATTTTCTAGAGAAAACTTATCGGCCTCAGTTTTCGACTGAGGACAAGTGGGATTTTCTATAGAAAATTCTTCTTTGGCCTAATTTCTCTACTGAGGGTAGAGTGATTGATTTACTATAGAGAGTGATTTACTATAGAAAAATTTTCGGCCTCTTTTTTTGACTGAGGACAAGTGAGATTTTGTATAGAAAATTGTTCTTCGGACTATGTTATCGACTGAGAGCTGAGAAGAATTTTTCTATAGAAAATTTCGAAGCCCTAAGTTCTTGACTGAGGGCGAGAGGGATTTTCTATAGAAAATTTCGAAACCTTAGTTCTAGACAGAGGGCGAGAGGGATTTTCTATAGAAAATTTCGAGGCTTCACTTCTCGATTGAGGCGCGACAGGGATTTTCTATGGAATTTTTTCAACCTCAGTTCTTGACTGAGGCCGGACGGGATTTTCTACAGAAAATTTTTCTTTGGCCTCAGTTCTCGACAGAGCGTCGGGAGGTATTTTCTATAGAAAATTCTTCTTTGGCGATTTACTATAGAAAATTTTTGTTTGGCTTTAGTTCTCGACTGAGGGCCGAGAGGGATTTTCTATAGAAAATTTCGAGGCCTCAGTTCTCGACTTAGGGCCAAAAGGGATTTTCTATAGAAAATTTTGAGGCCTCAGTTCTCGACTGAGTGCCGAGAGGGATTTTCTATAGAAAATTGTTCCTCGGCCTCAGTTTTCGACTGAGAACGTATGGGATTTTCTATAGAATTTTTTTCGGCCTGACTGAGGGCCGAGAGGGATTTTCTATAGAAAATTTTGAGTTATAAATTCGTTTATCTGCCTCTGATAGTCTTCCAAATATATTATTTAAAAATTCAGAATGTTAATTCACCTTTCTGAACTTCAGCTCAACTATGAAGAACTCTTGAGCTTCAAGATTTTCGGAGCTTCAGGTCGTCTGAACTTCAGCTCTACTATGAAGACTTCTTGAGCTTCAAGATTTTCGGAGTTTCAGGTCGTAACTTCAGTTCGTATATGCAGACTATCCGACCTTCATCTCGCCTATAAGGAGTACATAAGATTTAATTCCGCCTAAGCTTCAGCTCTTCTATAAGCACTACCAGAGTATCACCTCACCCATAGAGATTCCCTTCAGCTCGAGTCTTTAGCTCTTCTATAACGCCTCACTGGCCTTCAGCTCGTGTATAAAGTCTCCCAGGCCTTTGGCTCGTCTATGAAGACTTCCTAAGCATCAGCTCGTCTATATGGATTCCCTGAGATTTAGCTCCTCTTTAGAAAGTATCTGAGCTTCAGATCTCCTGATTTTAAGAGGCTTTAAAAGCTTCCTTACGTCCAGGTTTCCATCCTTAGTATATTAAGTATACGTGGCATTCAGCTCATCTGTAAAGACTGTTCCTGCCCTTCTGCTTGCCGATAAAGACTTCAGGGCTACAATTCATCTGTTGAGACTGCCAAGCCTAGAGATCTATTAAAACTCTCTGGTCGTTATGCTCGCATGTAAATAATCTTATAGCTTTCAACCTGTCCCTAACATTGCAGCCTCATTGTACCCTCTGCCCATCATATAGAATCTTCTACAATCAAGGAGATTTTTCCTCGCTGTACTGGTGACAGAGAACTTTGAGTATATATCTATCGAAAAAATTATTCTCAGTTCTAGAAATAAATTTCTCTGCTATTGGCGATTTTTTCTGAATCAAATAAATTATTTTTAGCTTGTCTTCCCCTGAAGTATGCAGTGAAAATATTTCCCCATTATGTATGTAGTGTAAATATAACATTTAGAACCATAATATTGACTTAACATATGATTATGTTCATTTACATTACCTCAATATATGCCGCATGCAAAAAAAAACACCTGAAAGTATGCAATAAAAAATGTGAATAAAATATTATTATAATATCCGTGTGTGTAACATCAAAATTTAATTTAAATATTTCTAATTGTAGTGAAGAGTTAGTGTATTGAAGATCACAAAAGAAATTCATACACCTACAAAAATATGCAACCAATTTATGAAATAATTCAATCCTAAAAGTATACTTCAAAATAATGAAAATACCGCAAACAATGTTTAAACTCAAATATTTGTGAAACAATCATCATATAAATAAATCAACAACCATATCCAATACAAACAACAAAATATCAAATAACATATCCCAAAAATCCGCAACAACAAAACCAACAACGCACATCCAATTGCAAGTGTTCAGAAATCGAAAACAAATTCCAAAAATAAACATATCTTTATAAAATAATAAAAACAACAGCAACATGACTGCCAAAACCAATGATAGTGATATGCCCAAAATGTCCTCCGAAATACCACGTCTAAGCTCGGAATTAGCTGCACAAGCTGCCATCAGGGCACAACAAATTTTGCGCAAACAATCTTCGCAAGAGGAACATCCCCCACCCATGGGGATGGGTGGTGGTGGTGGTGTGAAACCTCCATTACATTTGCCACCAAAACCGGCAGGGTCTCAGCCACCACCTTTACCGCCGCAACATAATAAACCAGTTCCTGCAATACCGGCCCGTTCTTCAGATCGTTCTACACCACCTGAAATACCACCCAAACGTCATAGTCTCAAAAGTCTCCCGGATGGTTTTAATTTACCACCACCTGGAAGGCAACCGCCACCATTGCCGCGTAAACCAGCATCCGCACAAAGCTCAGCACAAAATAGCGCACAAAACTCACCACTATCGATGGCGAAATTTAAGGATAAACCCCCTGTACCACCAGAAAAGCCAGAACCCAAAAGATCATCCAACCCCTTTGATATTCCTCTAGACAAAAATGTACCCTCTCCAGCTCCAACAAGGGCAAGTGATGTCAAAAAATCCTCTACAGCCTCGTCATCGGCATCCTCGTCTTCGCGAATCTCCCCCACAGAGGATTTCGGTTCCGAGGACGCTTTACGGGGTATTGAAAGTGGTCTGCGCAACATGGAACGAGCCATGCAAGAACAAATGAATTTACGTTCCTTTGAAGCACAAAATAATTTTGATATGCAATTCAAGGCCGCTCTCAGTTCCGGCAACCGCCATGTCTCCGCAGTGAATATTCGGGCGGCAGCCTATGAACGCAATCTCTCCTTAGATGAAAATTCCGTACAAAATGCAGCAGCCGCAGCCAGGCAATCTATTGAAGAAATTAAACAATTGCGGGCTCAAGCCTTACAAAATTCCTCCACCAATAATCTTAGCCAATTGGAACAGAGTCAGCAACAGGCAATGCGTTCTACCATTGAACATCACATGCGTTCGCTGGATCGTAATTTACCATTGGAGCTACAATACAGTCGTCATCGTTCGCATGTTCCAACCACGAATAGTAATGATTTCAATAAACCTCCTGTACCAGGACCAGTGCCAGTACCTGGTCAAGCGGTACCACCAACGGCACCAGGTGCTGCAACAAGCGGGGGAACGGGAACAGCAGGAGGTCCCATGCCTTTAAGTTCGGAATTTAGAGAACATATACGCCAACAGCTATTGGGTAATATACCAGGAAATGTGGTGCACAATACAGGACAGGGACCTGGTTCCGCAGCTGCTGCTGCTCTGCTACAACATCAAGCTCAGTCAAGGGCAGCAGCTGCGGCAGTAGCAGCGGCTCAAGGTTCAGCTGTGGCCGCTTTGACACGAGAAGAAATGCGCTTGAGGCGTCGTTCGTCGCACGATGAGACTCAACTGGCTCAGAGTCCACAAATGCCGGGTATGAAATTGACATTCAATAAAAATCAAGATTTTTAGTTCCATATTTTTTTTTTTTTAATTTTTGTTTAAAACAAAAACTTCTGAAGCGAAATTTGAAAAAGGCTCTCTTTGAAATATTTGTTACTGAGGACTTTTTTAAGAAACATAACCTTTTTCTATATAAAAAATAGTCCTCAGAGAACTGGGGATTTTTTTCTATAGAAAAAAGAGTCCTAAGAGAACTGATGATTTTTTTTCTATAGAAAAAGGAGTCCTCAGAGAATTGAGGATTTTTTTTTCTATGGAAAAAAGACTCCTCATGGTACTGAGGATTTTTTACTATAGAAAAAAAAGTCCTCAGAGTACTGAGGAATTTTTTCTATAGAAAAAATAGTCCTCAGAGTGGTGAGGATTTTTTTTCTATAGAAAAAAAATAGTACTCAGAGTGCTGAGGATTTTTTTCTATAGAAAAAATAGTCCTCGGAGTACTGAGGAATTTTTTTCTATAGAAAAAAGAGTGCCTCAGGAATTTTTTTCTATAGAATAAAGAGTCCTCAGCATACTGAGGAAAATTTTCCATAGAAAAAAGAGTCCTCAGCATACTGAGGAAAATTTTCCATAGAAAAAAGAGTCCTCAGCATACTGAGGAATTTTTTGAATAGAAAAAAGAGTCCGCAGAGCACTGAGGATTTTTTCTATAGAAAAAAGGGTCCTCAGAGTACCGAGGATTTTTTTGTATAGAAAAAAGAGTTCTCAGAGTACTGAGATTTTTTTTTGCTATGGACAAAAGAGTTCTCAGAGTTCTGATGAGTTTTTTTTTGTAGAAAAGAGGGTCCTCAGAGTTCAGAAGAATTTTTTTCTAAAGAAAAAAGAGTCCTCAGAGTTCTGAGGATTTTTTTCTATATAAAAAAGATTCCTCAGAGTTTCGAACTTCGTTTTCTTAATTTTTCATGTGTGCTTGTCTGCTCAAACATCTGTGTTATTTGTCATTTTTGGGTAATTTCAACATTTATCGTGTCGTGATATTTCCGGCGTTCCATCCATATTGTCTAAATATTTGGGAAATATTTACATTAAAAATGCAGCATTCTAAAATAGTTAATCCATTTACCCCCTTCACACATATATTTTGCCTGGCACTATTCCATCGACTTGTTAACATTGCCACAGCCTCTATCATACCAATATTCACCACACCTCCTGCCTGAAAAAGGAATTATTTTTCTCAATAAAAAATATCCTTACCAACTAAGCATGTTCAAATATTGTTATGATACTGAAAATCTTTCCTTCTATTTCTATTAGAATTGAAACAATTTTCGTTAGCACCGCATTGTTCCGCCGAATTGGATTATATGCGTTGTTGTCTGAAAGGTAAATTTCATTATTTTCAAAACAAAAAACCCATTTTACATTCCTCAGCTAAAAAAAAGATTAGTTAACACAGTGCCTTCGTTAATATGTTTTAATGAATTAATAAAATAAATAATAAAGCGAAAAATTAATAATCTGAACATAACCTCAATAATACGAAAAACAAAACATAACCTCAAAAAGTACTACCAAATCACAAAATATGCCACAATTCACCACAGGGTGATGGTCGTGGTTTACGGCTTAGCTAACCCAGCAAGGCATTGTCTAACTGCAAAAGGTCTGAATACAGGCTGCCACCAATACCTAACCTAACTTTTTTACCACTAATTATAGAGCATGTATTTTTTTTCTAAACCCAAATTATCACCACTTTGTCCATCACTTGTGGTTATTTGATTTTGTTTACCCAATTGAGAGGAAAATATAGTACAAAAATTAATCAACCCTGGTGTTTTACACAGCCCTCTTAAAACAATTCACAATAAATAAAATAAAAAAACCCAAACCTAAACCCCCAACTTAACTACAGGGTGTTTCCGAAACAAGGTTTTAATTCAATATTTTTTTTTAATATTTTTTTAATTCAAAACATTTCAGCACATTTTTCTAAAAAATTTTCAATTTTTTATTTTATTCCACCACTAATTTGAAAATGTAATTATTTGCTTATTTCCCATAATTTTTATAGTCACCCGTTTACGTGAACACTGGGATGAAACCTCACAATGTGTTCTGCAAAGAGCTGCCCAGTTGAAGAGCATGTTGAGCGATTCTCAAAGGTAAGATTTTGAGGGGAGGGAATTTTAGAGTGGTAATATGAAATGTTTAAAATTTTCTTAATTCAGATATGAGGCCAAACGTTTGGAACTTGAAAAATGGCTGCAACGCATGGAAGCTCGTGCCGAACGTATGGGCACCGTGGCCACCACTGCTGATATCTTGGAGGCCCAACAAAAAGAGCAGAAGGTAAGTAAATGAGAGACTCAACTCTAGAGAGACTAGTGATTATTTCTATAGAAACAAAGTTGAATTGGAAATTTTTTATATAGAAAAATCCTTAGTGATCTGTAGAAAGTCTCCATAAAAAATCACAATATGCTGAGAAGACTTGTTTCTAAAAAATCCTCAGTGAGCTAAGGAATCTTTTTTCTATACAAAAACAATCATCAATGCGCTGAGGAGACTTTCTGTAGAAAAAAATTCCTTATTGAGCAGAGGAGTCTTTTTTCTATAGAAAAAATTTCCTCAGTTATCTGAGGAGTCTTTTTTCTATAGAAAAAAAATTCCTCAGTTTTCTGAGGAGTCTTTTTTCTATAGAAAAAATGCCTCAGTTATCTGAGGAGTCTTTTTTCTATAGAAAAAAATCCTCAGTTATCTGAGGAGTCTTTTTTCTATAGAAAAAAAATCCTCAGTTATCTGAGGAGTCTTTTTTCTATAGAAAAAAATTCCTCAGTTATCTGAGGAGTCTTTTTTCTATAGAAAAAAAAATTCCTCAGGACACCCTGAGGTGTCTTTTTTCTATAGAAAAAAATTCCTCAGGACCCCCTGAGGTGTCTTTTTTCTATAGAAAAACATTCCTCAGTTAACTGAGGAGTCTTTTTTCTATAGAAAAAAATTCATCAGTGAGCTGAGGAGTCTTTTTTCTATAGAAAAAAATTCCTCAGTTAGCTGAGGAGTCTTTTTTCTATAGAAAAAAATTCTTCAGTTAGCTGAGGAGTCTTTTTTCTATAGAAAAAAAATCCTCAGTGAGCTGAGGAGTCTTTTTTCTATAGAAAAAAATTCCTCAGTTAGCTGAGTAGTCTTTTTTCTATAGAAAAAAATACTCAGTTAGCTGAGTAGTCTTTTTTCTATAGAAAAAAATTCCCCAGTGAGCTAAGGAGTCTTTTTTCTATAGAAAAAAATTCCTCAGTGAGCTGAGGAGTCTTTTTTCTATAGAAAAAAATTCCTCAGTGAGCTGAGGAGTCTTTTTTCTATAGAAAAAAATTCCTCAGTGAGCTGAGGAGTCTTTTTTCTATAGAAAAAAATTCCTCAGTGAGCTGAGGAGTCTTTTTTCTATAGAAAAAAATTCCTCAGTGAGCTGAGGAGTCTTTTTTCTATAGAAAAAAATTCCTCAGTGAGCTGAGGAGTCTTTTTTCTATAGAAAAAAATTCCTCAGTGAGCTGAGGAGTCCTTTTTCTATAGAAAAAAATTCCTCAGTGAGCTGAGGAGTCTTTTTTCTGTAGAAAAAAATTTTTCAGTGAGTGTTTTTTTTTATAGAAAAAATTCCTCAGTGAGCTGAGGAGTGTTTTTGTGTTTTCTCTGAGGAGCATTTTTTCTATAGAAAAAATCTTTATTGAACTGAGTAGACTTTTTGCTAGGTCTGAGGAATTCTGATCCTAGTTCTATAGTTTTTATAAAATATGAATTATACAGTTATTTATTTTTCCCACTTCTCCTTTTCCAGTCCTTCCACGCTGAGCTGCATCAAAACAAACCGCAATTTGAAATATTCAATACATTGACTCAAAAGCTAATTGCCGTCTATCCGGCAGATGATACCACACGCATCAAGAAAATGACTGAGGTCATTAATCAGAGGTATGTATCGAAGTAACTCATTCAGTTGTTTCAATTGTTTGTATTCGAAATATCTAATCTCTCACCTCCCATTTCTAGATATGCCAATCTCAATAATGGTGTCATTAATCGCGGCAAGCAATTGCATGCCGCCGTACACAGTCTCCAGTCCTTCGATCGTGCCATGGATCAATTTTTGGCATTCCTATCGGAATCTGAATCGTTGTGCGAGAGTGCTGAAGCTGAAATCGAACGAAATCCATTGATGTTTAAGGTAGGTGGCAAGTTTATGTTTTCTGTTTTTTATTTTATATAAATTATTTGGATATTGAATTTTTTTAATGCTGAGAATTTTGAAAATAGATTTGAAATTCAATAGAAGTTATAAGAAGGATAAAAAGTTAATAAATCAGTTTATAAATATTTTAAGATTTATAAGAGATTTATAAGAGTTCCTGAACCATAAGATTTGACTTAACCTTAAAATTATTTTAAACTACCAGACCTCGATAAGACATTATAATGTAAATATCACACCGGAATTCCGAAGTTATGTATATCAAACTCGATTTAAATATTAATGCCGAAGAGTGCTCTTTTATCTTATATTCGAAGAAAATGTATTTTCCTCGTCAGTTTGGGTTTGATTGTCTTGCTTTGGAGGCAATACTTGTTACTGATTTTCTCAGGACTTCTATACTCTTTGGCGAATCGAATTTAATGAAGATTTCAAAGCAGAGCTTGTCTTCTTGATATTACATTTCGTGACAGTCTCCTTCGACTTCGGATTGGCTCTGCCTCTGCTTTTTATATCAGACGATATAGACGATATAGGTTTTACCGTTCGTCTGCTCTTCCGGAGCTCTAATCCTCTTTTACGCTTCCGAGGAAGTGTAGGGAAGATCAGTTTTATCCTTCAGAGCATCAGATTTCTGTTCGGGTTTGTTCCGTCAGTGCATCTGGGCCAGTTTCGCCTCTGTGATCCAGATAACTGTTTCTTTCCTGTTCTTATCCGCCTCTTCGCTCCTCCGGTAGTTTAAGGTGGTTGTGTTAGTCTTATTCTCCGGTTTTTACGCTTCCGAGGAAGTGTAGGGAAGATCAGTTTTATCCTTCAGAGCATTAGATTTCTGTTCGAGTTTGGTCCGTCAGTGCATCTGGGCCAGTTTCGCCTCTGTGATCCAGATAACTGTTTCTTTCCTGTTCTTATCCGTCTCTTCGCTTCTCCGGTATTTTAAGGTGGTTGTGTCAGTCTTTTTCTCGTGTTCATACTCGGAATTTGAGTTGCAGTCGCCGTCTGTCTCGGAACGTTGGGTCGAAATTGCTCTTTTCCCCGTGATCCTTAAACTCAGATCCAAATTTGATCTTTGGCTTCGTGCTTGTAGCGATGTCTTCGACTACAGACACCCACATCTGTCGGAGATGGTTGTTCACGATAGGTCGCGAGGAGTGACACTTGGGTAGATCAACGACACCCACGGGTACTGTACCCAATCTTAATTCTTCTTCGTACTTTCCATGTTGGTTTTTGATTCAGGGGAACAGCACCAAAGTCAGTTTTGGTCCGCCGTGACTAGGTATAAGTAAATCGACTTCCGACTAATCAATTAATCGACTTTTGATCTTTGAGAAAATCCCAAAGCCGACATTTCAAGACCGACTTTCGATTTTCTTCCTAAAAAATTTGGAAAGTCTAAAAGTCTATTTTTGCGCTCGCGGACGCAGCCTTTAGAAATTGACAACTTCGTTAAGGCCTTTTTTTCATCAGAACCATTAGGCTCTGCCACTAAGACATTTTTTGAAATAAAAAACTCCCTCAACCAAAGGGGTTTTACCACCATTTTTTTATTTTAGGGGAACACACCCAAAGTTAGTTTTGATCGGCTGGGACAAGGCTATAAAAGTGTGTGATCAAACTATTCCATCACCTCCAGATTAATTGATTGTTAGAAGATTAACATTGTCGTTGAGGATTTTTTTTCTTTCGAAACCTTTGGACCTTCATATAAGATCTTTTTTTGGAAAAAACACCTTCAACCGATTTTTTTTTTTTTTTGCAAAAAAAGTTCTTAACTTACTGAGGATTTTTTCTAAAAAAAACTCTCCATTGATTCAGAGGATTTTTGTCAAATTACAAAAATCTCCATAGCAATTAAGAATTTTTTTACAGAAAAAATTTCCAGTACCTGAGGATAGTTTTGAGGACACTTCTTCATTTCTGAAGACATATAAGAGCTTTTGGAAGACCCTTAAACAATCTTACACCATATAGAAGATCTTTCAGTTCAAAAATCTTCAAGGCATAAGACACCTTTAAAAAGGACCTGTAAGAATATATTCTGCCTATAAAAAATCTCAGATGGTGTTTTGGACATACAAGATATTTTAGAAAAAATATTAACATGCTTCGGAAAGTCCAATTTGCACCGTTTGTTTGTGCACCGTTTTGTTGTGATTTGTTGCTTTTTTAATGGTGACTTCATAATGCTTAGGTACCAATTTTTTATCATTAAAGGAATTTTGCAATGCAAGAAAAATATCATAATCGCTTGGTGGCAAGTTCGGACTGTACGGCGGATGCATTAAAACTTCCCAACCAAGCTCCCGAACTTTCTGGCGAGTCACTGTAGAGGTGTGTGGCCTAGCGTTGTCCCGGTGGGACACGACACCTCTCCTGCTGACCGTTTCTGGTCAATTGCTATTTTCAAACGGTCCAGTTGTTGACAGTAGAGATCGGAATTTAGCGTTTGGTCATATGGAAGCAACTCATAATAAAAATCTCCTTCCAGTCCCACTAATTGCATAGCAGAACCTTTCTTGACGTAGGTTCTGGTTTGGCCAACGTTTGAGGTGCTTCACCGTTCTTTGACCACGATGGTTTCGCTCTAGGTTATTGTATGTAATCCATTACTCATCTCCAGTCACCATCCGTTTAAAAAATGGGTCTAACTCATTCCGCTTGGCCAAGGCTTCGCATATTGGAATTCGATCCATCCTATTTTTGCTCTTAATTGGTGTGGCACCTAAACATAGAGCTTCTTTTTGTATCCAGCTTTGTGTAAATGGTTTAAAAAAGTGTTCAATTCATAACTCCTGAACGATGTTACGACTGCTAAAAATGCCGGTCAACTTAGATCATTTCACCGATTTTATCGACATTTTCAATGATCGGCCTAATGGAGTTATTTTTCCCCAACATAATATATTTAACTGGCCCATCCAGCTCGTCTATTTCAATATTTTCCTTTGATTCGTCCACATCGTCTATTAAAAAAAAAAATTCCACTGCTCCGACCATTTCGTTTATTTATGTAGACTTCACTGACATGTCTATTTAGATATTTTCCAATGATCCGCCCAATTAATATATTTAAATGGCCTCTAAACGTCAGTTCACCTCGTCTATTTAAATATTTCCCTCTGGCTTCGTCTATAGAAGCAAACACCACAAGCTGTCCAGTCTATAGAAAGAAACTTCCCATAGGTCGGTCCGTCCAGCTTATTTGGCCTTTAAAATAGATTATTTCTGGTCCCTCCAGTTTGTATATTTAAATATTTTCGTCTATTCGTCTATAGAAGCAGACCACACTATATGCCTAGTTCGTCTATAGAAATTGCCTCCGATGAACTTGCAGCTTGTTTTCGCCTTTAAATATGATTTTTCTTCTTTTAGATCTACTGGAAGCTGACTCCACAATCTGTCCAGTTCGTCTATAGAAACAAACCACCAAATATCGGCCCGTCCAATTTGGTCTTTAAATTTATTTTTTCTGGCTCGTCCAGTTTGTCTATTTAAATATTTTACAATGATCCGTTCAATTTGTCTATTTAAATATTTTCCTCTGGCTCATCCAGTTCGTCCATAGAAGCAAACCACACTATATGTCCAGTTCGTCTATAGAAATAGACTCCGCTGAACTTACAGCTTGTTTTCGCCTTTGAATATGATTTTTCTTCTTTTGATCTACCGGAACTCTTTCCTGCTATTTTGTGTCCCTCTCTCTCTCCCCTCGTCGCCCTGTAAAAATCTCGTTTTTCCATGTCCATTAGCATTTCAATTTTCATCTGATATTTATAATGTCTATAATTGTTCGCATGTAATTGATCTCCAAAAAGCCATTAAAAATTTATTAATTTTCCGCTGCAACCCCTCTCCACTTCTCCCACTCGTTCCTCATCATCTCCTCGATTTCTTTGTTTTTGATCCGCAACGCACATTGATTTTCAATTTATCAATCAATTGATGCGTTTGTTTGTAGATATACGTGGATTCAATTGCCTCGGTCTGGTGGTACAATCTGCAATCTGTTTCTGTTGCATTGTGGGTGAATTGTTGGGGAATATGGAACTGTTGGAAAATTGTAGCGGAAAAACTGAATATATTTAGCATATGAATATTCCTGCTGCAGTACAACGGAGAAGCTGGATGGAGGCTGGAAACATTTGTTTGTTTGAGGTTTAACAGGCTTTGTATTTGCTTGATGGTGGTGGCAGAGTGGTGGTTGTGACTGTGGAACTGATGGTGCCAGTCAGTCATGCCAGCCACCAGTTATCTAGTGGTTGGCATGCGTTGCAATTTGTTGTCTATTGGCAGCGGCAGCAGCAACAACAACACCAACAATGATGACAACCACTTGAGCGCCATCTCCATAATAATGATGATCATCCATAATGCGTAGAAGATTTGTGGGGTTCAGAAACGCTTGTTCTAAATGCATGCATGCATTCATTCATTCAGACCAGCCTGCCAGCCAGTCAGTCAGCCATCCAGCTAGCTATGCAACCACTCAACTCAGAAATCGTTTTTGTTATCTGTGTCGTATCTTTGTTTTCCTTTCGTTTTCATCAGTATTTTCATCGTCAGCCACTGCAACTATACACATCCTACTCAACTTGAGCCGTAGCTCTAAGAATTTTCTTCGAGCTGTTTCCCTGCCCTGAGCTGATGTATAGCCGTGTGTGTTTGGTTTTTTGTTTGCGATTACTTTAAGTGCAATCGTTTGGGGGTTTAATTGCATTCACAAAGGAAAAACTACAAGAAAATGGAATTGTAAGTATGTAGGTAGGCTGAGGGATGGGAGGTAGAGAATTTAAGATAAAGAGAAAATAAGTATGGAAAACACAAGTTAAGTGCTATTTAGACAAGTATCAGATATTCGTAAAGTCAGGCAGTCACTCTGTAAAAAAAATTTTTGAATGAGCCCATTCAATTTTTTTGTGTCTCTGAACTCTTTGGTGTTTTGTTGTTGTTGTTGTGTAAATTGTAATTTTATGGTTTTTGTTG